TAATCAAAGGATTTAAGCTAAAATTGAGAATCTTCTTTGGAAGTATTAAAAAATATAACTCGATTATCCTTAAGTCATAATGTAGCAAACATTTTGACAGGAAACTCTTCATATAATCATCACTAATTTAAATTTTTTTCAGCTTACCCACTCGCGAAGTATTTCCTAATACGTTAAATTTCATACAAAATCCATTTCATCCATTAAACAGATGGGTGAAGGTCGTGCCTTGTTCGGATCTTAGACTAATATAAGAATAAAATTAAGTTCAATTAAGAAAATAACAATAGAAAAAAAATTAAAAGAGAAAGCGAACAAATAGTGGATTTGATGTTTGCGCGAAATGAATATAGCCAGCTGGAACTCCTAGCTGCACCCCTTCAAGACGAATTTATTAGTGCTCAAAAAATTCATTCCAAATAATAAATTTTATTTCCACATTTCAATTGCCTTTGATAAATAACCTTTGAAATTGATCTGAAAATTAACCATATTCTAAAATGAAGATCAAATTCCCCTTTTTTATTGAGAAAGCTGTACATATCAAATCATTCTCATATGTATACCAAACCTAATTGTTTGCTGGGTATTAACTTAACTTTACAACAAAAAATAATTTATCTTTACTAACTTTAAATTTTTACAGACCGAGAAAACCCTTATACAAAAATTATATGTATGTACGTATTTTGTTCTTGCTTTAGTGTGCTATTGCCAAATTTCAGATAACCTTCTCTAAAGGAAAGAGGAGGAAAAACCCAAATACTCTGGCTTTTACACTCACTCACTAGCGCAAAAATAATTGTGACAATAACGCACTATTCACAGTTGATGAAATAACACCACCTTCTATGGATTTGAATTGTACACAATACACAAAAAATTAAAAAAGTACTCCGAATCGGATTAATCAGATAACGGATTAATCCTACATCCCAAAAGAGCACAATTATGTGTAATGGGGCAGATGTATTTTCAGTTTTACATTTTGCGATAAATGTGAAAGAAGTTCATCTAATAAAGTTGTTTGTTCGAGAAATACTTTCCGAAAACTGAAAAGCTCCTACAACAGTTGGATCCCTTGAGTCTCTGATACTTTAATTCAACGCCAAGCTAATTTATGATAAAAATTAAGAGTTAAGGGTTTCAAAGGATATTTTTTACACATTAGTTTCTATTTAATTGGATAGAACATTATCGAAAATAATTAGTGCCGTTGCACCTGTATTCTTATATCGGACATATTATTCCCGTTCTTCGATAAGTTCTATTCGCAATTATTTACGAGAATGCTTTTATAAATAAAAAGAAAAACACTAGCCACGCTACATTTCTTTAACAGGTACTTATGCAACAAAGTGAGCTACGATCTCTTTTTTCCATACGGCAACGATAGTATATCGATAGTACTAAGAAAACATGTTATATCTCGCACGTTTAATAATATAGAGATGTAACTCAAAATTTACGTTTTTAAAGATTTCATTATACAAATAATAAGCTTGATATGTAGAATATGTTTAGTCTAACAGATAACTAAATTTCACAAATAAACGTGCAATATATCCTTTTGGAAATAATACTTAAGTGCCCGAAAAAAACTTTTGGGGTTTCACTGACTACGTTACACCCCACTTTCATTATAGGATCTCTAATCGGATTTTTTCGCTAACTTTGAACGTGGCCTGTTAAACTAAATTTAATTTCTATCGTCCAGAACTTTATCAGCTAAAATAAACCAATGTAAACTTATATATTTCACTCTTCCTGGTTTGGTATAGTATTTAAAACTATTTTCAGGTTCAACGAAAGTTTTTCAACAAAACGAACCAGATATCTAACATAATACGCTTGAGCATGATAAGAATTAGTGTCAGAAGCAGCTGACAGATATATAGTGAATACTAATAATCACCATTCTGTACAATATTTAAAATAAAAAAGAAATCGGATTGGTTTACTTTTCTGTATAATCGACCGTATGTATAAGACCAATTAATTTTTATTATTTATTGCTGAAAAAACCTACTTTTTTAAAGATTTTCAAAAAGGTATTTAATGGCCGCACGGTTTGAAGAATTGTATTGTTTTGAAAAAAAAGTCTGCCCACGTCATTCAATTTCTAAGTTGAAAATCCATTTGCCGTTCGAAGGCGGCGTAAAACTGTACGTCCCTCCATTTGTGTAACAAAATCAAAGAGGCACACCACCAATTGGAGATGAAGTCCGGCCAAACACTTGCCTAAATGTAAGCGCCAAATATTATTATTATATCCCTTCAATGGACTGTCAACAAAAAGTAACTTTTTGAGTTTTTTGCGGTTATTAGCCGAAAGGCTTGAGCGCCACTTGACTTGCACCATAATTTCTGAACTTTGACACACTTCATCAAAATCCCCTTTAGGTTTCGCCTGACCTCAAGGACTAACTAACTGCCGCAACCTGCGGTCGGTAAGTGACAGGCTAATGTAAATAGATTCATATGTACATATGTACATATTTATGTTCATGGAAAGCTGTAACGATTTCGCAAATTTTCCACAGAATGTTGCTATGCAGGAGTCAAATTGAAATAAAGAATACGCAAGCAATAGCCATAACGAACCCAAAAACCTTGTTGATTTCGTTTGCGTGCCCATTATTTGACATATTTGTCGCCACTTTGCGGACGATTCACCTTGAAGTGCTAGCTTGGAATTAGCCTTGCAGCACAGAAGGCGTCGTCAAACAGACACTCTCGACCACATTGAATTACCCGGCTCTAGATACCCAGCGAAGAAATCCAGTCCGCAGATAACAACCACTTCCCAAGAAAATCATCCCCCAATTAGTGTACATCTTACTTAAATGTATATCGTCGTTTAAAGTACAAAACCGCGTATCCACAAAATGCAAAACCGCATATGTGAGGTTGCATAAATTAATTTTTAGATAGTAAAAACACTCATATTTCAAAATGGTTCTCTTTTTCATAAAACAATCGCATATCTGGCTAGTTAATTCAGGACGAATGGATAACGATTGAGTTACGCGATTTTGCAGAATGACGATACGCGGTTTTGTACATTAAACGACGATATGTACTTCATTCTTAAGCTTCGACTTTCGTAGACTATGGTTTTATTTTTATTTCGGTATTTACTTTTGCGCTTTTCTTGAATTTGCCTAAGAATTCAATTCCTTTGTTTGGCGCCCTTCGTGGGGTGACAGGCAGCTTGAGTTGAAGTTAAAAAGTTGGGAAAGTTTTCTTGGCGTGTTTCCGTCTTTGTGGATGGACGCACTGCAATACGAATAATTAGGATGTGAGAGCACGTTAAACACAAATATTATGACCTGTTGGAGTTTTTACGTGCTAAGTAGATAATAATTGTAGTTAAGTGTGCGTAACTTGAATTATTCAAGGCGGAAGCATGGTGAAGTTTTATGAAATGGGTATTGGTTTTTACTAGCAAAATTTTAGAAAAATCGTCAACACATTTTTCTGATTGTGCTTTTATGTTTTCATAAATATAATTATACGAGTAGGACGCTCGTAGCGCATTTAAATCTACATATCGTCGTTTAAAGTACAAAACCGCGTATCAGGAAAATGCAAAACCGCGTATGTGAGGTTGCAAACATTATTTTCTAGAGAGTAAAAACTTTCATATTTCAAAATGATTCTCTTTTTTATAATGAAATCGCATTTCTGGCTAGTATATTTCAGGAATAATGGATAAGGATTGAGCCAAGAGCTTGTGTGAGCAAATCCATATTCAGCAGTGAGCGCTCCTTCCTAATTTCACACTTCATTGTATTTTAACATTGGGTGTCATTAGAAAGAAGCGCTCCCTTGCTGCTCCCAAAGAAGCCCTTGGTGAGCGCTTCAACTAAAGCATTTAAAAAGCGATTCATGCAAATTTTAATTTTTATATTATATTTGTGTTTTAATAAAATAATGCCGTTTTTGTAAACCAGTTGAAAGCTTTATTAAGTGTCCTTATTGTTTTTCTTTTCTGTGTGGTATACATACGAAAACACATACATACATACATACATGTTTGTACATAAATTAACTATTTATCAAAAGAAAATATTTTATGTTACTACTCAAAATGATATTTATTTCTGAGCAAAGCTAGAAACTTAAGAATTGATTTTTTTCTTTGCTTCTGTACTGCTCCCTACTTGCTCCTTTGGGAAGCAGCTAACTTTCGGTCCCGTTGGGCGTACATTACTTACAATCATTTAAACAAATTTAGTTTCAAATTGAAAGCACATTTCTTTGAAAATAATTTAAAATCGTACACACAGAAGAACCGAAAAGATTGAAATATCACGATACCTTTCCTGTCGTCTGTCGGAACTATCGAAAAAGGGTTGCAGCGGGGGGCAATTGACACTTCCTAGGACATCGCAATGTTCAATTTACATGCAAAAGAGATTTGTCGCGAAAATGTATTAGAAGCACACCAGTTCAGAAGTAGAGATTTTCCCACAGGGTAGATATATGTATACATATATGTATGTGCATAGAACGTACGTATGAGAAATAGTTACATATATACGTACATATTTATGTTTATACAGTGTCTGGATATAGTGAACTAATTTTTGCATGGCCTGTTCACAGCATCCAGGTTGTTCACTATATTAAGGTTAACTTATTTTGTTCAAAAACTTGTTTTATTTGCTCAAAATTCATGTTTGTGTATGTAAGTGCAACAGATTTTTGGAATAAATGTATACTTAGGAAAATATAAATGGACATATGAATCTTTATTGAAAGAATTCGCGAATAGATGTTTGCTTCATGCATGAGGAATTTGACTTTTGGACCGCTTTTTCACGTAGAGTTCTCAATACTATTATGCCAGCATAGTCAGTTTTTAATAGTTTCAGTGGCTTTTATAAAATTTCCGATCTGTCCTTTGCCTTGGTCATCATCACCAGCTTCTGCAGTATCCTCGGCATCTTTCTCTACAATTGGTTCGTCGTCTTCGATTGTATTTTAATTTTAGATATCATTTTCAGTGTAGGTTTCCTAAAATAATAAAAGTACATAAAAACGAAATGGACAGGTGAATGTCAATAGGGTCAATAAAATTACCTCCGGTATTACAACTTGCAGCAGACCCTGCATATCATCGATTTCTTTATATTTTTGGCGAAGTAAGCTCAGAGGACCATCATCGTCTTCATCCTCGCTTTCATTTGGCTCTGTGGCATTGAATCATTCTAATAAAGGCTTCCAACATTTCGCTGTTACACTTGCCTTCAGCTGATTCCAAGCAAGCATTAAAAATGATACAGCATCTTTAAAAGTTAAAGTTTTTAAAAATTGTGTGATGTCATCTTTTCCTACAGCTAATAACAGCAGATGTTTTTTGTAGTACAGCTTAGTTAAGCGAATCACATTTTGATTCACAGGCTGAATAAAAGGCGTTAAATTTGGAGGCATATAAACCACGAATATTGAGCCATCAGCAGTTTTAAGTTCATCTTCTGGCGGATGGCTAGGGGCGTTATCAAGCAATAGGATAGCTTTGGTTGGTAAACCCTTTTGTAGCTAAGAATTTTGAACCTAATAACAATTAAAAACGAAAAAATACTCGGTCAAACTGGTAGGAATTTTAAATGTGTTACTCATGTACGTGAGGGACGAAGCAATGGTGAAACCATTCTATGAAGATGTCTGCAGTTACTCCATAAATTTCCGATTTTTTCAACAATTTCAGATTTTTGCTCCAACGAAAGGAATTTCCTAGCAGACATGATAACACTATTTAAATGCTAAATTTATTAGCACACAAAAATTAAAAAACCACATAAAACAGCGCACATTCACTCACAAGCGGTTGGAACTCGACAAGAACCAAATAAACATTAGCATCAAATAGTAGCAGCTTTTCTAGTAATAAACATAAAGTGGTAAATTTCAGGGAATAACCGCTTTCATTTCCGGTTAAATTTGGTATTTTTTTGTCAATTTATGCTTGCCGTTGCTTTTAAAATTTTGTTCGCTATTTAGAGGCTTTCGATTGTTCACTATTTAGAGTACTCTGTGTAAATATTTCGGTGTTCACTATATCGAGGTGTTCACTATAGCGGGCGTTCGCTATATAGAGACACGACTGTATATTTAACTGTTAGGTATTTTAATTACGAATGAGTTCGACATCTGCTGCTATGAAGTATTATAATAAATATCTTGTGACTGCGTATACGTTTCATGTTTGCATATAAATGAAAATACTTGTAGGTAAAGCTTCATAAAACCCTTTTATCTAATCACATTCAGCTCAATTCCAAACTCAATACTAGTACTCCTTTGATAGTGTTCATATGCGTACCTGTTATCTTATCATCGCTTAATGGTATAACTTAGATAAAATTTTATTTTTACCCTTTCGCAATACAAACCTCGCCTCAATCAAGGGAATCGTCAGGGTCCTTTAATAACACTAAATATTTTATCTAATTTATTTCATAAATGTGGTATCTAATACTTCAATAGAGTCAACATTAAAAATCTTTCAAAGGGCCCTGTTTTACAAGTTTCTTTCTTAAACTCTTTTATAATATAACGCAATACATTGTATGGGAAAAATAACGAAATTTTTCAAATAAATCTGAATTTCTGTATCGCATATTTGTATTTACTTTTATTTGGCTTTAAACCTGTTTTTCGGTATTCGTACGGTGACCATTCGTAATGATTTTGGCGGGACAGTACCGATTTTGAGAAAATTGTCCCGCTAAATATTTTTTAAAAGTCGGGACGTATAAGTGTCTCGATTTTTCATATTTGTGCCGATTTACCGAGGCAGCTCTTTCATTATCACAAAGGATATAGAATATAAGTGAGCCATAAACATAGCCAGCCTTATTAACAATATAATAATATAATTAATGAAATTATAAAAAATAATACCATCAAAAAAATCGTGGATATGAAAAACATAAGCTGCTTTTACCTTTCTTTGGCAATTCCCCTTTCGATTATTTAATGTTTATTCCTTTTTATGAAAGTGTGGATTAATGCATATAAAGGCTGTTTATGCAAATAAACGAGCGCATTTGTCACCCGTAAAAGACCGATACATTTCTGGGCACATAACTATACCTCGCCATTTCCGACTGGGTACATATGTTACTATTCACAAGCAAACTTCATATCGCATGCCAGGCACGCGCAAACACATCTTCTTGACATACTCATATGCATACATATATACCTACTTGTGTGTATGTACCCTGCAGCGGAAAGTACTAGTACAAAACTAATGAATTCACCAGTTTTCGGGAGTCGAATACCGGTACCTCGCAAATCTACCACCCATGCTGTCTACTGTCGCATTAAACATGGAGTTGTCCTAGGAGGTGACAATTGACTCCCGCTGCGTAACTTGTTGTAAAAGTACCAGTTTTTTTTCGTTGTGCACTTCACAGATACTTTTTCATAATTAAAAAAAAACGAAAATAAAAATTTTAAATTATATGTTCTGCATAGTGAGATTTGAGCTTGGAAACTTTCGGCCGCAACTAATTGTAGCCAACATCTTTGCGCACTCAGCTACAGGCACAACATGTAAGTGTGCTTTCAAATGTTCGCTTTGAATCAAGCCAGGCGACGATTTGTTCAAATTTAAATTTGTCCTTGCCATTGGCTTTGCTATTTATTTTGCTGTGATCGAACGTACAAAAGCTTCAGAGTGGCGTTGTTTGAAATTTTATTATTAGGCGGAACTGATTCTTTATGATCATTTTATTAAAATTGTCATTTAAACTCGCTATATCTCAGTCGTTTATGTATCGATCGATTTGAAATTTTCATAGGATGAACTACAAACCATTCCAAAGAATTTAAGTTTAAAACCACTTCTTAATACTCAGTACAAATAAAACTACAAGTTTATAACTTTTTTATGAGAATGAAGAGGGTGTTTGTTTTCAAATGTAAAAGTTGTGTCATAAACTTTGAAATAAATTTGTTGTTTTAAAACAGTGTTGTAGAAGGGAAGTTTTTGGAAAAGTTTCAGAATTAAACATCAAGTAGTTGCAAAGTTATAACAATATTATTTAGTTAGCAGATTAGCGCGCTACGCTCTAAAAGGCTTTATAACTCGGAAAAGTAAAAATATCCCTTTTTTATTTGTGATTTATATGTAAAAAGACTTGATCTTTCGGTTGAGATAACTAAAAACAATATTAAAAATGACCATAATTCAGAAAAATTACAAACAAATTTTCGTTCAGGATTTTCACCATGAAAATGGGAAAGTTTTTGAAAACGCATAGTACCATCGTATAGCCCGTACAAAAATCTATAGAAATCATAGTTTTCAAATTATTTTTCCCATCTTCTGTCTGCTTCCCAGCCAGTTGAAAAGTAGCTTGTTTTGCACCGCTCAGGGCGCTGGGTCATTTGACGTGAATTGCCCCATTTATATAAACATATTTGAAAAAAAAATTAAAAAGTAGTAGTTATGTAAAAAGGGGTATCTACATATGTACTGATTTATTTTGGTACTTTTCAGTACGATATTTGCGTGGTGGTCATACGAGGGAAACAGAACATGGATAAGTATTCAAAATTTATTACTATTTAAACAATTAAATAACAAATTCCTTTATGTAATACGGGAGCACTATCATATTAAAACTACCATTAGAAGGAGCAATATGTAACCAATAGCTCGATTTCTTACTACCTGAAGCATAATATGCTATTGGAACTAGTAATGTAACTAGTACGAAAGCGATAATTGTAACCGACCCCGCTGCAGGGTAGGTTCTTTCCCGTACGCAACGCGGGATCCCGCGGGTACCCAAAACAGCCCAGAAATCATTCCCGTACTCAACAAAATGGGTAATAGAGAGCGAAAATTGGAACGTATTGGATCGTAAGTGTATTCTTCTTCCTGCCCGAAACAGCCCGGACTTTTTCTCCGGATAAAAATGGATAAAGTGTCGAAGTGCATATCATCTGTTTTGTGTTTACATGTTGCCTGCATTTACTTGGTGCTTTTAAGGAAAAGTGAATGATCAATTTCCAAGAGTTTGCATTTAAGTGACAAAAACAAAAACAACGTGAATCAGCTGTTTCTCTAATTCTGGGCACGAAATGTGTTTTTTTGCGTTCCCGTACTTCTGGATTATGTTCCATTTTTGAGAGCAAACTTTTGGCTTATTCTTTAATTACTGGATTGTTAGGGAAAGAACAAAGCTTAGTGGAATGATTGAAGCCATATCATTGAGATTACCGAATTTTTGCATTCCTAAGTGAGGGCATAGTGTGTAGTAAGTAAAACAAAAGGTTTCAGAACGTTATGTATTTCTTTTTTGCACTGTATCTCGAAATGTGTTCGACTCCCAACTCGATGGTCGTGGGTTCAAATCCTGTAACACGGGCCGTTTTCTTCGGATCTGCCATTTCTACTGTCTGTTGTGCGGGAATGCCACATGGTTTTATTGGAACCAGGAGTCTATTTTTGGACGCACTAACAAAAATGTTTAAATAACATAACACAAGCACGATGTAGAGAACAAAGGTGACGCATTTCGCAAACCGCTACCTTAATAATAATAGAGTATTCAGGCGTTAATGCGAAGTGGAATTGCAACGAAGCAAAATGTGAAGTTCTGAACACATTGAAAAAGACGAGCTACGGCCACAGCTTCCAATTTGTTATCGGCGCAATGATTGCAGCAGAATTCGTGAGAGTAATTTTAGCGTGACGTCATCGTAGAGTTGACAACTGAGAGCGGCGAGAATAAGGGCGATTAGTGATGTGCTGAATTGTCTCCAATACTCGGTACCCAATACCTAAAAAAGATTTCGGTACCCAATACTTCCTTTTCGGTATCCGATACTGATTCTTTACATTAAACCTTCGCCATTATAAGCATTTCAGGTTTAGAAAAAACTTTCATTACTTATTTATATGATATCGGCTAAAACACTTGAACTTATCGCAACAGAGAAATATTATTTTATCACATTTAACCTTAGTCGATCCAAGGTTCAAGAAAAATGCTTTGACGGATGGAGAAGCTTCTCGGGGGGGGAGATCTAAGCAGTTATCGACAAGTTTCGGATCGATATCGCACTTGTTGGCGTAATAATATTTCATATCATACGTCAACAAAACCGATACGGATTCGAAAATTGTCGCTAACTGGTTATAGAATCTGCCCCCAGGCCTCCAAAAACGATATCGTCCGATTCAGCTGGAACAAAAATGCTCCAAACAAGTAAGAGTTTCTCTGCGTTATGGCCTCGAACCGACATATATACATCTTTCATTTGAATCCGTATTAAAAGCTCTATTGGCTCCTACATTCGGGTTTTTATAGGCGAGTCTCCCTTGAGCCGTTTTTTTCCATATCTTTGGCCTGTGTGCGCTTTTATTCGAAATCTAAATGTTTCGGTACCGAGTATCGAGAGTATTGGATTCTTTTTAAATCGGTACCGAATATCGATCAATACTTGAAAGTATTGACTCAGCACATCACTACTGCTGTCAACTCGACTGTGACGTCAGCAAAACAGCTGATTCCGTAAAATTCACTGAGAGCCGA